AAGTAAACTCCCTCATTATAATATAGATTAGAAGATTGATATGAAGTTTAGTTTGACAATATGTAATAAAATAGTTGACTATTTGGAACGTTTGTAATGGATATTAATTGAAGCTTTTAACTCACTGCATATGGTCAGTTTAGAGATGTTGTTGTGGACCAAAAAACCTAAGGACTGGTCCGGTCTAGCCTTAAGAGGTCGGAAGCGACCTTCTTTGTGAATATGGAAAACTATCAGGACGGACCGCACGTAAGAAACTAAACCTTCCAAACACGAGTTGAACCAGGCCGAAACCATTAACCATCACATCTATAGAAATTTTCTTTCTTTTTGGCTAGTTGTTAAGCGCGAAACACCCCATAGATCCTTTGGCCAACAAGGTTGCAGATCATATCATGTTCAATGAATTGATCATCGCAACATCTTAACGGTGTTCACTAGACAAAGTCTAAACTCCACACCAATAAAAAACCTCATTCGGATCAAACTGCATAAATGCCATTTTTTTTAAACGGAATCATTTAGATGTAAGAAAAAAATGGGATTAAGATTGTGACAAGAGTACAGAAAGTGAAGTTGTTTGGTAGCCAAGTAACGAAAGTCTTTCTGTTTGTCTCAAGCTTTGAATCCAAAGGAGCACAAAGCCACATGACAAAATAAGATGGTTAAAGTTGATGTTAAACGCTCTTCTCCACGACCCATATCCTCATTTATCGTCCTTTTTATTTTGACTTTTTTACCATTTCAATATTGATGCTCTCTTCTTTCACATCCAATTAAACGTTATCATTTTCATTTTTAAATGCATATGCTGTGTTGGCTCTGTAAATGCAGACTTTTTTTATTTTTGTCAAATACTGTTTAGTAGTAAACTTTAATTGTCAATGCAGATAAAATCATCAACTATAAGGCGAGACATCATCTTTTTCTTATTAACTAATCATCTATGTGATATTATAATGTTTTAGTTGTGGCACTAACCTTTTCATATTAAATCAAACAATTAAGTAGTGGGGTGCGAACGATCCCAAAGTCTCATTCAAATATATACATTTCGAGTAAAGGAAAAGGATGGAACAGCAAAACCATAGATGATAAGTGTCGTATCTGCATGACGATATGTATTATGTAATTATGAAATATTAGGTGTATTACGAATTTGAGGAGGTGTCGGGTGATAACGAAGCCACCGTACCACCGCCAAGGAGACAAATGCTTCTGTTTTCTAACTCACATAGTATCATTATTTGTACCTTTCTTTTTCATTTTTTTACCTTTTTTCATTTGTATCGGAATCTGTCACTAGCCAAACACCATGTGCTTTAGACATTTCTTTCAATTATGATTTCTTCTTTTCTCCCCCATTATTTATTGTGTTTCTGTGATTACGTGTGTGATACAGTGATATATAATAGTATGAAATATAAACTTTTGGCCAACAAGATCTTATTTACCTAATGAAAGACCCTGATTCATAAAGTCAAATAAGTGGCACATAATTAACATATAACATAACGAAAGATTTTGATTCAGAAGGCCAAATCAATAGTTGTGTGTCTTTGGTATATGTCTGCTAATAAAATTAGAAAAACTCCTAATATCATCAGAGATTTTCCCAAGTAAATAGTGAGTGTCGACTAATTTATCAATGTAGTTACTAAATTTATCAATTGAGAACAATCAGTTGCAAATACCACTTATAAAATTTATCGAATCAGAGTTTCTTTAGGTAGCCACCGACCTACAACCTACAATTATCCTTACACTTTCATGCTTGGTGGAGAAGAAGCGAACAAAGGTACACTCGCTTGTTGTCTTGTTCTCTGCCGCGAACTGGGATCGCTCCCAGCTAGATCAGATTGAAGCAACATTTTCTGAGAGCATATCACCCATCTTCGGGGACAAGGGGCAGAACGACCTCTCGATCTACTTATAGCATCCCAGGAATAAAAACGTCGTCTAAACGTTCCCTCTTGCTCCGATCTACCTTACGCCTAGAACGTTGTCTGGGCCAAGAGTCATAGTTTGTTGATGTTTCCATTTGGTTGTTTTTTCTCGTTGTTTCATGGTCCATTTAATGTTTCACATTCTGCATGTAATGGAAAAGACTTCATCTGATGTTCATAATTTCCATAATATAATTATCCGAGCCTTCACTACTGCAGAATCATTCATGACCTGAATTTTGTTCTGTTTTTTTGCTCCATTGATGTAGCATCTTCTTATATATCCCAATTGATGACTCAAGAAATCATTAATTTGAGCTTCAGTGCATACTATACCTCTATTTTCTTTTACACTCGGACTCTCTTGTAATTTCCATTTTTGCTTTAAATTTATATCATTTCGCTATTTCTAAATAGACCATATATACAATCCATGGAAAATAGCTGAAGCATAAGTTTTTTGAATCTTTAGAATAAATAATCCCAATATGAAAATATGGATGATGTTGGAAAACACCAAGATTTGCTTCATAGAGCACATGTTTGAACCGCTGTTGGTCATTCAAAATTCAAAAGTACCTGACTTATTGATTCTTGATCTGCTCCATAAATATTACATTGTTTATCGCATTGTATACCATGTGTCCTAAAAAAGTTTTATGACAAAAAATATTCTGGATATAGTTGGCCTAATAAAATGGTTTAACTTTGGAGAACAATCAAGCTTTGAAATGAAATCCATAAGAGGTTTAGTATCTAGGCGTATAAATTTGATCTTCTTTTGAATCTGGATTTGTTTTGTAACCTAATCATACTATATACATTCCAGGTAATTTAAAGTGCCAACACTATATATCCAGTCTAGAGTTACAACTTACCGCAATACTCTTAATAACATCCACATCCTCCGGTTATATATATGCATTAAGAAAATCATGAGATGGTTCCGATCAAAGTTCTTTCGTGTGTCACAAGTTTTTTTTACTCAAACTCATAGAAGGATCCGTGGGGAAGCTTGGACAATTAATACCTTTGCCTTGAAGTAAGACCTGAAGTAACCATAATCTTATCTGTATTATTTACAAATTTCCTTTCGCGAACCTCTTGAAAACAAAATAATTGAAATAACAGAAATATTTTTTAGATGTTTTTATAAAGTTTCTAATAAATAGTATTTATCGTAAAATACTAGTTACAAAAGTTCAAATTTTTGTTGACAATATTATTCTACTTGATAATATCTAAACAAAATAGCACTTACCATTTTTTTAAAAGCATTATTTTGGTAGATCTATATTTTCTATAAATCCTGCTCAACCATATAGCATACAATCCATATAAAATACTTCTTATCTTAAAAAAAAAACTAGATTACGTCTTCTAGATATATAGTATTTTCTGGTTAAGGACGTGACCATAACACTGCATCTGAATTATTCGATCTTTGTCATGCTAGTTTGAGAGATGTGACTGAAAAGATATTTAGAATGTTTAAATCAAGGTTTGCGATTTTTAAATCCACACCTCCCTTTTTTTATAAAACAAGCTGGATTAGTATTAACATGTACAACATTGCGTAAAATAATACCGACCAGGTTGCTGAATTTCCAGCTGAATGGACAGTCAACAAATGCAACGACTACCAAGAAAGTTGTTCGAGAAGAGCCTTGAGGAACACAAGAACAAGATAGAAAAAATGCAAATACTAAGAGAAAAACTGTGGCAGAAGTTATGGAGAGATTCCATGGGTTTAGATGATCCATAGATTTCATATATTAGTATTAAATTATTGTGGTACTAATTGTTAATTTTCTTTTCAATTTTAGGATATAGATAATTTTTGTTAACTTTTCACATATACAAAGATTCAAAAATTTCATACAGTTTAGAGGAATTAATATTCTAGAAAATTTATATATAGTATATTATAATCCATAAGAAAAAGGTAAACATAAGAACTAGATAAATGCATTAAATTCTCATCAAACCTTTTAAAGTACTGTAAAAGTTATGATCTATGAATCCTTCAAACTCAGTTAAAGTCCTGGATCCAATACCACCCTCTAAGATTATCCACCGTTAACAATAGTTTTAAAATTGAATTTTGTTGTCCTGGTATTTCTGACCACGGTCGAGAAGCAATAATCCAAAGATCATTCCACATTGAGATGGATTATCTTATCTCTATTCTTCTGATTACCTTTTTAAACAAAAGATCAATCTGAAGTAACACTCCTCCAACCATATAAAAGGGAATTATATTTATTTGATCAACTGGATTTGATTTCTGATATCATCACCCTTTGAAAGACCCTTGCAAACAAAGAGTCAGGGCTTTTTTTCACCAGTCTCTACAATTATTTGTCTAATAAAATTTTATTGAAGTCGTAGAGGTCTTGAAACCCCAATTCTCCATCTTCCTTATATCTACATATTTTTTTCCCATGAATGATCCAGCCATATATATATGTGAAAACATATCAATGAAACTATACATTTTTAATACGCGTATCGCTTTTATGGCAACTATTTTGGTCGTAAGTTTCTTAATTCCCATTGTCCACTCCTTGCATTGGTCCAAAATACCAAATCTTTTTAAAAACCAACTAATTTAGTTTTAGTTTTCCTGCATCCAAAGATAAACAAAAGAATTGGTGAAAATCTAAAATTGATGGTCTCAAGAATACTTGGCCCAAGTGAAATAGAAAACAATCTTCACTTTCAGCTCAGGAGTAGTAGAAAATTGCCAACGAAATGATTCTATAATTTCAATACTTTTTGGTCATCATCTCTCGCGATAAAGAGTACTTCTAAATACATTAGTTTGGAGATTAAAAAATGAAATTACATAAGCACATCTGCATATCATTAATCTTTTTAACAAATAGTTTCTCAGCACTATTCTAGTATTATTTTTAGATAATTTGATTAAATTTGTAAATTAAATGTAAAAATAAAAAGTGTACTACTCTAAATAGGATCAGCCTTTCACTATAGTAAACATTGAGTAGGGCACAAGAAGATTCCGTTGGTGATGTAGATAACATGAATAGGACATTAATTTAGCAAGTCGAGTTTTAGAAAGGGACACTAGAAATTTCGAGCTAAAATGGCTAATATAAATTGTGTTGTTGTTAGGAATCACAGTGAATTACTAGAAGATTGTCAATGTACCAAGAGCACCAAAATTATTGTACGAACAAAATGCATTCAACAAGGTGAGATATCTGCGTCGAGAGATGATGTAATATCAAATACACAACATAAACAAAAGAGGAGTTCTCCACTTTCATTTAGTAGAGTAGCCATTCAGTTAGTGAGATATAATTAGTAGGATTGAGGATGTTCGAGGAGACCCATTTTGTCCTGATTTAATAATGAATCAAATCTTTCTCAAATGCGTTTAACAATAAGCTATGGACAACAAATTCTGTGAATAAGAAGATTGAGCAATTAGACAGTTCAGTGATTAAAAGTTCTACTCCTACTGCCACTTTAGAGGAATATGTGTGCTCTCATCTCAATAATACTCAAAAGCATTTTGATACCAAGTCAAGATCCGGGGTTAAGATTGTCTTCAAGAAGAAAGATACAAAGTCGTCTTTGTGATTAAGAAAAACTTATTTTACAGTAAACCAAAGGTACATCGAATTCAACCAACAAAATAACTCTCTAAAAATCACCATTTCTTACTCCGCAAATCGGATGATAGTATTATGTGACTATGAAGTATTTCAATCTCCAAAACCAGCAAAATACTTGATCAAGGTGAATAAGGTAGTGGTAGAAGTTACATTTTTTTTTTAATTTGAGTGTATATTAGATAACATTCTCAATCGATCAATTATGACAAAAAAGAAGATTGCAAAGAATATATATTTAGAACAGCTAAGTACTTCCATATTAAAGAGAAGACGGATCTTTGAGAGGGATCTATTGATACGATCTTGGATATAAATTCACAAGATGCTCAGTTGGTGATAAAGTTAGTCATTGGCTACTTTAAAAATTATTTGGGCTCAACTTATGGCCCATTTCTTAGTCGGTTAACTTTTATTGCATATGTTTACTTTATAAATATTTTTGTTTTGGCTTTGAACATGTTATCGAATATTCCAACCAATGAAATGAAGATTCTTATCCTTAAAAATCCTTCTCGCTAACTTCTTTTCTCTCTTTGCTTTTCCTAGATCCTCTCCTATTTGTTCGATTTCCAGTAAGCTCCGACCATAAGCTTATCAATTCACTTCTTTAAAATCATAATAATTGTTTTTCTTTATCTCACATGTGTATTTAGAACAACTAAGTACTTCCATATTAAAGAGAAGAAGGATATTTGAGAGGGATCTACTGATACGACCTTGAATATAGATTCACAAGATGCTCAGTTGGTGATAAAATTAGTCGTCGGACAACTTATTATTTGGGCTCAACTTATGGCCCATTTCTTAGTCGGTTAACTTTTTTATTGCATATGTTTACTTTATTAATATCTTTGTTTTGGCTATGAAAACGTTATCGAATATTCCGACCAATGAAATGAAGATTCTTATCCTTAAAAATCCTTCTCATTAACTTATTTTCTATCTTTTCTTTTCCAAGATCCTCTCCTTTTTGTTCGATTTTCGGTAAGCTCTGACCATGAGCTTATCAATTCACTTCTTTAAAATCATAATTTCTTTATCACCTATATGTATCTGAGCCATATTTTGGATGTATGTATGTGATGAGTTTTTTGTTTGAGGGTTTTTTGACACTTCTGATAATTAGGTTGATTGTAAACTACAGTTTCTGTATTTTTTTTCTTTATATCCTATATGTTTTTGAGCCATATTTTTAGATATATGTATGTCATTAGTTTTTTTTTCAGAATTGTATGACAATTCTGATTGGGTTGATTGTAAATTACAATTTCCGTAATTAATACGCCACCAAAATTTTCTATGAAAAAATATTTTCATTTTTTCTCATCAGGTCAAATTATTCTACATGGTTGGTAGGGAGAAGTTAAGCCAGGACCTTTCCAAAAGGCTGAAGGAAGATATGATAAGCCAACTACCCGATCCTTTGATATGTCACATCCTTTATCATCTGTCAACAAAGAAAGCTGTTGAGACTCGCCTTTTGTCCAGCAGATGGGAAAATCTCTGGCTTTGGGTTCCTCGTTTGGAAATGGATTCCAAAGAGTTCACTGATCCTAGTGAATTTATGAGTTTTGGTGACAGGTTTTTCAACTCGTGTAGAGTTTCATGCATATACAAACTCAAGTTAGTTGTTGCTACTGATGAAATTGACGATGATGCTTCTTATGCCATGTCATGGATCGATGCTGCTATCAAGCGTAAGGTCCAACATCTAGACTTACATTGGTGTGGAGAGTTTAAGTTCTTTGCCAAACCCTTAAAGTTTTATAGCAGTGATACTTTGGTATACTTAAAACTCTCTGGGGTACCCTTTGATAATGCCGAGTTTGTTTACTTGCCCTGTTTGAAGACTATGCATTTAGAAGATAATTTGTATCCAAATGAGGCCACTTTCGAGAAACTTGTATCATCATGCCCTGTCCTTGAAGAAATAAATCTTCTTATTCATGAGGAGGATGAAAAAGACTTTCGGGTGCAATCTCGGTCACTGAAAAAGCTCACTTTAGTATGACCTTATTTTGACTTTCTTCATTCTCTTTCGGATGTCGTGATCGATGCTCCTCAACTATGTTGTTTGAAAATTGACGATCATGCATCAGAAAGCTTTATAGTAAACAGTTTGGAGTCCAGTGCGGAGTTAGATATTTCTCTCCTCATTGGTTCGGAGGTTTTTGATGACGAAAAGAGAAGTAACATCCACAATTTTCTCCTCTGGATCATGATGGTTGCGGATATGAAACTATGTGCCAACACTTTCAAGGTATATTAATATGTCTTAGACATGTAAGGTTATGTTGGATAATTCCAATTAACTTAAGGAAAAAGTTAACTTATTAAAGGAGTTTAGTAAGTTAAGGAAAAAAAGAAAACATATCGAGCTTAGGAATGTTTCTATATTATTATTAGGTTAAGATGTAGCTTCGACCTATATAAGGAATTGCAGAGATGTTGCATCCCTTAAGAGATCTAAGAGAGTAGATCAAGAGACACAAGATAAACACATTGATTTAGTTTTGAGAGAGTTTCTAAATCTAATAAAAAGTGCTAGTTCTTATATTCTTGTGTGTTTGTGCAACTTTAAATTGGTATCAGAGCTTGAGTTGAAGCTTAAATATAAACTTTAACTGGTATCAGAGCTTGAGTTGAAGCTTTGATCTAAACTTTAATTGGTATCAGAGCCTCCAGGTTTCAAAATCGTTTACAAGAGGAGTTGTAATTCGATCAAAACATGGGAGACGATGTCGCTTCTCAAGTACGTGATAAAGGTCTTGGGATGAAGAAGGACATACAATGTCCGATGCTAACATCGACCAACTACACCGTTTGGTTCATAAGGATGAAGGTGTTGCTTCGTTTATATGAAGTTTGGGATACCATCAAACCAGGGAACATCGATTTGAAGAAGAACAATGATGCGATGCACTAATCTTTCAGTCGATCCCAGAAGTGTTGATTATTCAAATTGGAGAACACGATACATCAAAGAAGATTTGGGATGCTATCAAATGACGTAACCTAGGTGCTGATCGCGTGAGAGAAGCAAGGTTACAGACCTTGATGTCTGAGTTCGATAAACTGAAGATGACAGATGCAGACACGGTGGATGATTATGCAGGAAAACTATCAGGTGTAGCATAAAATGGTTAGACACACTTCCATCAGAGTATTGTTAGCGGTAGTAGCACGTCATGACATGGAGCTTAAGCAATTTGATGTGAAGACGATGTTTCACAGGAGAAGCAAACACATACTTTCGAAGTACCATTTTATCTGTGAGTGTGAATAAGATGATCACATCGAAGACATCAACATACCTAAGATTCAAGTTGGAATTAAGGAGGAGAATGTTGGATCATTCCAATTAACTTAAGGAGAAAGTTAACTTATTAAAGGGGAGTTTAGTAAGTTAAGGAAAAAGAAAAACATATCGAGTTTAGGAATATTTCCATATTATTATTAGGTTAAGATGTAGCTTCGACCTATATAAGAAGTTGCAGATATGTTGCATCCCTTAAGAGATCTAAGAGAGTAGACCAAGAGAAACAAGATAAACACATCGATTTAGTTTTGACAGAGTTTTTAAATCTAATTAGAAGTGCTAGTTCTTATATTCTTGTGTGTTTGTGCAACTTTAAATTGGTATCAGAGCTTGAGTTAAAGCTTTGATCTAAACTTTAATTGGTATCAGAGCTTGAGTTGAAGGTTTGATCTAAACTTTAGGTTTCTATCATGATACTTTCTTACCCATTTCTTTCTCTGGTTGTAGATAATCGGTCAATACTCGTAATTGGATATGCTGCCTCAGTTTGGTTACATGTCCTACTTTCATGTGACGTCACAGGTGCCCGATTTGAAATGGTTACCAACCTTTCTTTAGAGCTGCCCAAACTTGAATTCCCTTATCTTGGTAATGATTGTCTTAAACCTTACAATTTTGTTTATCTTTCATATGTATGAAAACATTGTGTATGCGTGCGCTTTAATCCTCTCTTTTTTTTTTGTGCCTCAGAGTTGGTTTGGTGATTATGAGAAAATTAATTCTGAGGAGATGGATCCCATCAGTTTTTCACCTGTACCTCAGTGCTTGTTATCGTCTCTAGAGTTTGTCCACTTTCAAGGCAGAATCTTCGAACCTACAGAAGAGATGAACCTAGTAAAGTATTTTTTAGAGAATTCAGCAATCCTCAAGCTACTTATTCTACGTTTGGCAGATAATTCAATGACATCAGATTCTATTCATGAAGAACTTCTCCTAATCCCAAAAGCCTCTACCACATGTGAAGTCTTCTTCTTTTGATTGGTAAAGACAAAAGAATAGATGTTATTTGATTTCTGTGTAAAGTCTAGTTCCATAAGGGAATAATATTCAAGAATATCCAACCTATGGTCGGTCCCTCCTATGATTGTTAAAAGTGTCGGTTTTCATTTGTTCCTTATCATTTGGGTCTTGGGAGTGAAAAGGAATTAAAACTATTTTAAGTACTTGGTCGGACATCTCTTTCTTCATATAATCAACTTGTAGCTTTTGGTGGTTTTGATGTTATGACCTTGTGACAATATGTAGTTTCATGTCAAGAACTGTTATTTACTTGATTTGGTGATATTGCGAGAACATTGTTATTTTGTTCTTTAATTTTTGAGTTTCCCATGGCAGCTCATATTAAATGAACTCCTGGCAAATTCAAACTGAGACATTTTCATTAAACATGAGAGTTGGTTCTATGAAGTCGACAAGTTATGCTTCCAAAACTGATAAATGGCCTTGTCCGTTTGCAAGATTTGCAAGTCGCTAATGGCAGCTACTAAACACGGCGATTAGTAGCAGACTAGCAGTGATCAATGACCAAAATTTTTGGTTGCAAGGTTTTCTAGTATTAATATTTAGATGATACACACGAAAAAAATTTAATCTTATATTATTTTATAGAGATTACTCGCAGCTATCATCATCAATCGAACATTACTAATCACAATGGTTAATTGCTACTATGTCCAAAAAAAATTGCTATTAGCAGCGACATTAAAGTGAACATAAGCATTAGCATCGATATAGGGTGCATGTGTTGGATAAGCTTGAAGATTAATGTGTCATTATCTATTGAAGTTGTGTTTATCCTAAACGACTTAGGAATTATGATAATTACTATTAGAATTTGGGTTTGGATTTTATCCCATATATATAAGGGATACGTGTGTTGTGTTTTAGGTCATGAGTTTTGAGTTGTGATTTGTGATTTGAGCTTTGAGTGATTAATAAGAAGGACTTCTTGTTTTGATATTGTGAAACTTTATTTGGTATCAGAGCAACAAAGTTTTTAAGAAAAAAATTAGAAGCTTTGCGATGGCTGATGAAAAGAATGATGAAATTGTGTTACACAAAGACGTTGGACGCGCCTCCATCAAATACCCTATGCTCAACGATACAAACTACACCGTCTGGGCTATTAGGATGAAGATAGCCCTCAAAGTCAGTGAAGTTTGGGAAACAATAGACCCCGGAACTGAAGACGTAAAGAAGAACAACATGGCTACTGCACTTTTGTTCCAATCTATACCAGAAGCCCTAATAATGCAAGTTGGAGATTTAAACTCGGCAAAGGAAATCTGGGAAGCAATAAAAACAATACACGTTGGAGCAGAACGTGTTAAAGAAGCTAGGTTGCAGACTCTAATGGTGGAATTTGATAGACTGAAGATGAAGGATGGAGACACAATAGATTCCTTCAGCAGCAAGTTATCCGAAATTGCTTCTAAATCTGCCTCTCTTGGAGAGACAGTAGAAGAATCTAAGCTGGTGAAGAAATTCTTGAAAACTCTACCAAGAAGAAAATTTGTTCACATGGTTGCATCTCTTGTACAGATGCTTGATCTCAAGACAACAAAGTTCGATGATATTGTTGGGAGATTAAAAGCATTCGAAGAAAGAATTGCAGAAGATGATGACGATGTAAGTGATGACTCCGGAAAATTGATGTATGCTAATTCAGATAACGCTGGTGGTGGCTACAATAATAGGGGTCGAGGACGTGGTAATGGTAGATCTAATTGGCGGGGCAGAGGCCGTGGCCGTTTTGGAAGCTTTCAACAACAGAAGGAAGCTTATAGACAAGGAAAGGGTATAGGAGATGCTTCACATATCACGTGTTTCAACTGTGATAAATTTAGACACTACGCCACAGACTGTCCTGACAAGATGTTAAAGCTTCAAGAGATCGTCGAACCTAATGACAAGAAGGATGACAACACTCAAGAAGCAGATACTTTGATGATGAATGAAATTGTGTACTTGAATGAGAAGAATATGAAACCAGGAATGTTTGATACTGAAACAGATACAAAAGATGTGTGGTATCTAGATAATGGAGCTAGTAATCACATGAGTGGGAACCGTATGTTTTTCTTTGAGCTTGATGACACGATCACTGGAAAAGTGCGCTTCGGGGATGATTCACAGATTAATATCCAAGGAAATGGTGCAATACGTTTTATAATAAATGGAGAAAAGAAAATCTTAAAGGATGTCTACTATATACCTGCACTAAGAAGCAATATTGTGAGCTTGGGTCAAGCTACAGAAGAATGTGAAGTGAGAATGAAGGATAATATTCTCAAGTTGGTAGACAAAAGCGGAAATCTGATGGTTGAGACATCAAGAGCAAAGAATCGTTTATACAAGGTCTCACTTCAAGTTGATCTTGTCGAATGTTTACAGGCTAAATCTTGTGGGGTAAGTTCTCTATGGCATGCACGTTTGGGCCATATAAACAAAGAAACAATGAGATCAATGGTTAAGAAGGAACTTGTTATTGGTGTACCTGAAGTTGGAAAAGGCACAGAAGCATGTGAGGCATGTCTAAAGGGGAAACAAGTCAGAAAACCGTTTCCACAAGCTACCACTTATCGAGCCTCTAAACCTCTGGAATTGATTCATGCTGACCTCTGTGGACCTATTTCTCCACCAACACCTGGTCACAAGAGGTACATCTTTGTACTTATAGATGATTACTCACGTTACATGTGGACAATACTAATCAAAGACAAGAGTGAAGCATTTGAGAAGTTTAAAACGTTTAAGATACGTGTGGAACAAGAAACAAGAGCAGAACTGAAAACTTTGCGAACAGACCGAGGAGGAGAGTTTGTGTCTCATGAGTTCCAATCATATTGCGAGAAACATGGCATCAACCGTCATCTGACTGAACCATACTCACCTCAGCAAAACGGAGTGGTGGAACGAAGAAACCGAACCCTGCTTGAGATGACAAGGAGTATTCTGAAACATATGAATTTACCAAATCATCTATGGGGTGAAGCAACACGTCATGCTACATATCTTATAAACCGGGTTGCAACAAGATCTTTACACGAGAAAACTCCTTATGAGGCAATGAGGGACCGAAAACCAAATCTATCTCATCTAAGGGTCTTCGGTTGTGTTTGTACGCTAGAACAGAGAAAGCAGGGAGAAAGAAATTGGATGACAGATCTAGAGCTCTTGTTCACTTAGGAACAGAACCAGGATCAAAGTCATATCGTCTGTTTGATCCTCTAACCAAACGTATTGTTGTAAGTCGTGACGTGGTGTTCGAAGAGAGCAAGGAATGGCATTGGACGGAGAAGATAAACAACTCTGAGAACAACGACTTCATTATCAGTCACAAGTTATTGAATGACAAAGACGAGACCCCAAATGATGAGTATGATGGTGCATCTGAGCAAGAAGAAGGAGAAGTTAATGATACAGACAATGATAATAGTGCAGACGAGGATGCAGAGCCTCAACTTAGAAGGTCCACTCGTATAACTTCTAAACCTGCATATCTCGATGACTATATTCTTGTTGCAGAGATTGAAAGTGAGCGTTTGTTAATGGTGATAAATGATGAACCTTGGGATTTCAACAAAGCTAAGGAGCAAAAGATGTGGATTGATGCTTGCAAGGATGAACTCTTCTCAATAGAGAAAAACAACACGTGGGATCTTGTTGAATTACCAATGGGAGTAAAACCAATTGGTTTAAAGTGGGTGTTCAAGATCAAACGAAATGCGGATGGAACTATTAACAAGTACAAGGCTCGACTAGTGGCTAAAGGATATGTTCAAAGACATGGAGTTGACTATGACGAGGTCTTTGCTCCTGTGGCTCGAATTGAAACAATTCGTTTGATTATTGCTCTCGCAGGATCTTATGGTTGGGAGATACATCACCTTGATGTTAAAACTGCATTCCTTCATGGAGAACTCAAGGAAGAAGTGTTTGTCACTCAACCAGAAGGATTCATCGTTACTGGAAAGGAGCATAAGGTTTACAAGTTGAAAAAGGCTCTCTATGGATTACGACAAGCACCTAGAGCCTGGAACTTAAAGCTTAATCAGATACTCAGAGGTCTAAGTTTCAAGCGTTGCTCAAAAGAGCCATCACTTTACCGTAAAGAAGACAATCAAGAGCTCCTTATAGTCGTTGTTTATGTAGATGACTTATTAGTCACATGGTCATCATTGAAGGCTATATTGGAGTTTAAAGATAAAATGGCTGCTAAATTTGAGATGAGTGATCTTGGTTTGTTAACTTATTATTTGGGATTATAAGTGAAACAAGACAGAGATGGGATCGTGCTCACTCAAGATAAATATGCTAAACGAATACTTGAAGAAGCAAAGATGAGCTCCTGCAACTTAACTCATATACCATTGGAGTTAAATGCAACTTTGTCTAAAGCACCAAGTGAAGGCAATATCGATGAAAGGGAGTATCGCCGAGCTATTGGATGCCTTTGTTACCTACTACATACACGTCCGGACCTGTCCTTTAGCGTTGGTGTTCTCAGTAGATATATGGAAGAACCTAAGGTGTCACATGGGGCAGCTTTGAAACAAGTCATGAGGTATCTACGTGGAACATGTACACTCGGACTACACTACTCACGCGACAAAGGTATTAAACTCTTGGGCTTTAGTGATGCTTCTCATAATGTTGATAATGATGATGGAAAGAGCACAACGGGATTCATATTTTATCTTGGAGAGAGTCCAATAGCATGGTGCTCTACAAAGCAAGAGATTGTGGCACTATCATCTTGTGAGGCTGAGTTCATGGCTGCAACAGAGGCTGCCAAACAGGCTATTTGGCTGCAGGAACTTCTGAGTGAGGCGATAGGAGAAGCTAGTAAGAAAGTGATGATCAAAGTTGACAACAAATCTGCAATTGCATTGTCCAAAAATCTTATGTTCCATGGCCGTAGTATGCATATTCATAGACGGTTTCATTTCATTCGAGAATGTGTTGAGAATGAACAAGTTGAAGTTGATCATATACCGGGAAGCGAGCTGACATTCTTACAAAGTCACTTGGAAGAACAAAGTTCAGAGAGATGAGGGACCTAATTGGAGCTAGAGATGTGAGTGAAGAGAAGTTCAAGTTTAAGGGGGAGATTGCTGGATAAGCTTGAAGATTAATTAGTCATTATCTATTGAAGTTGTATTTATCCTAAACGATTTAGGAATTATGATAATTACTATTAGAATTTGGGTTTGGATTTTATCCCATATATATAAGGGATACGTGTGTTGTGTTTTAGGTCATGAGTTTTGAGTTGTGATTTGTGATTTGAGCTTTGAGTGATTAATAAGAAGGACTTCTTATTTTGATATTGTGAAACTTTAACATGTGCCCCCATAATGTTTTCAAAAACTAATGTATTTCTTCATTATTTTTATATGTATCTACTAAAATTTATAGGTTTACATAGTTACCCACCAATAATTTCTTCTGGATTCGCTTGTCGTAGGTTGCTGCTGTTGGTCACTGCCACTAGGCACTAGCAATGTGCAAAGTGCAAACGAAGATAGCCTACCACCCTATAAATAAATGATGTAACAAAACAAATCGCCGACAAAAATAAATCAAAATCCTAAGTGAATAAATCTGAAAACAAACACAAACCAGATAAATGGTTCGTTCGGCCTATTAGAGGCCTAACAAGACCCGGAGTACATATTTTGAGTCTCACGAAGTAGATTCTCAAATGATTAATTGAACATTTGGGTCGTCTCTTTCGCTCGCTCGTCTCTCCTACGTCAAAAACATTTCCACCATTTTCGCTCGTTAACACCTTTCTTCAGCTATTCTCTTCGTCAATCTTGGTATGCGTCTTTAGCTAGAATCTTTAGGGTTTTCTGCTGTCTGTGTGCGCTCGTACTCAGTTTTTCCGATAAAACCCTAGTTTTCTCAGTGGATCTTTCTCTGTAATGGAGACCCTCGTGACTCGTGGCGGTTCCCTTCAGAATAATCACTCAAGAAAAGAGTGGCGCGCCGTTTACCCGGTAATGTGCCTAATCTTGAACTTCTTTCTGGGTTATATTTTCTTAAAGCCGAAATCTTGAATTTCTTTTTTTCTTTTTTTTTGTTTGGAACGGTTAAAGCCAAACCAGACTGAACCGAGAGCCATATACGAGGTTAATCACTTCTATCTTTTAAATTTCCTTTTTTTTCTTTTTTTAATTTGGAGAGTGGAGACGACATTTGTTTGTGTGGTTTTCTTGAAGTGTAGAATGGAAGAGACGGTGAACTTTTGGAGCAGATTCGTTCAGTTTCTAGACAAAAAGGAGAGCTACAGAAGCAGGAGGTTGAGCTTCGAGCACGGGTGTTGGCTATGGAGATTCAGAGAGGCTTTGAGTCTCGTTCTGTAGAGTATGAGAATGCTGCTGCGAGATTGCAGGTAGGTGTATTGTTCTTTTCTCCTTTGATTGTTTTTGGTGTTGCGTGGAGGGTAAAGGAATGTTTTTGAACTTCTTTAGGAGCAACTTCGTGAGAAGGAGAGAGCTGTTAGGGAGATGGAGAGGAAGTTAGAAGGGAAAGACAGAGAGCTGCATGCGGCTAAGCTGGATAACCAAGCAGTATGTTTGCTTTCAAGGTGTTGTTTAGATATAAGTTATAGTCGAAATGGTTTGATGCTAAGTACTCTTACTACCAGGCGTGGGCGAATGAAGGTCTACTAAGAGAACAAAACAAAGAACTTGCCACTCTAAGGTTCTTTTTTTCCTTTTCTCTTAATGTCTTAGAAATTTTCATTTCACAGGTTACTTAGTGAGGAGGAGTCTTACATATTGAGGTACACTGTGGTTTTGGACTATATAACACGCTACTCTCTCTTTTTTTTTATCTTTCTTTCTCAATATGCAGAAGGGAGCGTGATCACTTTGAAGCTGAGAGGTCCCAAAGTATACATAAAATATCTGAACTTCAGGAGCATATTCAAGAGAAAGAAAGATTGTACTCTGAACTGGAGGAACAGGTTAATTCTCATGAATCTTGTAGTAGTTATATGTCAATGTTATTTTGAAAGTGAATTTACAATAAACATAGACTCTTTATCCATAATGGCTTGTAGAATAGGATTGCTCAAGAAACAAGCATGTACAAGGATGAGCAACTGAGAGAATTGCATGGTTGGATTGCGCGTGCGCAAGAGATGGATGCTTTACAATCATCTACAAATCTCTCCTTGCAAGCTGAACTACGAGAACGTACTGAGCAGTATAACCAGCTATGGCATGGTTGCCAAAGACAGGTTGGTTATTCTGAATTATTTTTCATTTTTTTTTTTGTTTTCTGCTTTTACTCTCATCGTATGTTTGTTCCATCTCATTGACTTCAGTTTGCGGAGCTGGAGAGACTGCATCAGCATACAATGCAACAGCTTCAGCATGAGCTTGCCAATTTAAAAGAAGGAGGTGGTGGCTCCAAAACAAATTTTAACGGTGCCTCCCAGATGAACCCTCTGCACTCCTTCGTGATGCATCAACAAAAGGTGTGTGAGATTAAGAATCCATCTTTTGTTTCGTTTTGCTTCAGGTTAATAATGACCATATGTAGTCGTTCTCGTGCTTTCTCCGCAGGCTATTTCAGAGATGCCTAGACAGAATCATGTGCATCCACCTCAAGGAATTCATCATGCCTTGGTAAGTTCTGATGCGAGGAGTGAACATCAGATGCCTGCCAATGGACAGTCCCTTGGTCAAGGGTATCTGGATGTTCAAACTAGCTATGGAGGACAATACAGATCAGCTACACCATTGTCCTTGGTGAATGAACAGGTAGGGGATGTTTTTGTACTATTTTAAAACGATACTATCTTAGAGACTCTTTTTACAGGTTGTGGAATCAAGCAATGGTTCTAATACGTCAGAGAATAACTTTCAAGACATTTCTTCACAGTTCCGTGATGTGCTAAGGCTAGATTCTAATGCGCTAAATCAGAAACCCAATGTATGGACGTATTTACTTTGCTTGTGGCTGCTTGTATTGAGAAAATATTCTGAATCTGTTTTCCATTTGATCCCAGGAGGCTAATGGTCAGATTTCACCTGGTGAACAAAATGGTGTCGTGCCTGAAACTCTAGTCTCATCTGGCAAAGCTGAGAGGAACGTAGAGAGTGCTCTTCTGGATGAAAGGTCGCTTTTGGCTTGTATCGTTCGTACTATACCAGCTGGTGAAAGAATTAGAATCAGTTCAACGGTGAGAGTCTTAACCAACCACAATGAGAGTGAATAATTAATTGAATTTGTAACATCTGCTTAATATGTCATCATTTTACAGCTTCATAATCGTCTGGGAAAAATGATAGCGCCTCTGCAGTGGCATGATTACAAGAAGAAGTACGGGGAGCTGGGAGACTTTGTTGCTAGCCATCTCGAGGTCTGTCTTATCCCAATTCCCAAACCACTCATGTCTTTTTATTTTTTTCCTAGAAAAACCTGTTAAACTTGTTTTGGCTGCAGTTGTTTACGATAGAAGGCGACTACATTCAAGCTAGAGAAGGTGCACAGAAAATGGTAGCAGCTTCAGTTTCAGCAGCAGCTGGCAAAGTGGCAGCTTCATCATCTCCGAACTCAATGTATGTGGCGATAACTCCTATGGCTCAATCTCAGAATGACAAAACAGTCCAAAGAGGAAGACAGAGTTCTTCTGATTATATGGCTCCCCAACAAAGAAAGCTTTGATTTTAACTTTGTGGAGGAACAAGTTGAGCATGTCAAAGTGAAAATGCATATAACAACGAGGCGTGACAACAATCTCCTATTTTTTTTTGTCGTTCTGAAATATCTTAGGTGTCCTCTAATACTAAAAATATTCTGTTCGGTGCTAGTTGTATTTTGTATGCCCATCATCGATTATTTTCGATTTGACCTGCTTAGAATCGGCCGTGATAAATTAGGAAAGGACCAAACCTAAGATCATAGCCACATCAGAGGAGAGTGAGCATTGGGTCAACATAAATCTCCAACTGTTAACAATATATGAGGAGAGTGAGCAGTTGAGCTAAAACGAACGAAGATAAACGAGTCTTGAAAGTCTTTCTTTCTTCAACTGTTGCGTGGCTCACATTCTTGCCAGTGCTCGGTGGCGGGTATGACAATCTGTGTATCCATTAAGAGTTATTTTTTTTTTCTCTTTGTTACCAGGTTTTCAGTTTACTCACCCAAGATTTGTTTGTAAGATCAAATGAGAGTTAATGGCTCAGATTGATTTTGCCAAGAGTTCTCTAATATGAGCTCTCATAGGAAAAACTCTGAAATGAATGAGAAAAATAACAACATTCTCTTAATATCACCAAATCAAACTAATAACGGTTCTTGCCAAAAACTGCATTTTGTCATAATGTCTTACATAAAAAAACCACCAAAACTACATGTTACTTTATGAATAGGGAACATATCAAAAATCTTTGCGATTATAAAATACACTTTACACAGAAAACCACAAAATATCTCTACTCTTTGATCTTTTACCAGTCAAAGGATAACGACTTCACAACTGGTAGAGCCTCTTGGGATTCGGAGAAGTTCTTTGAGAGTATAATTATCTCTAGTTGAATCACCCACCAAACGTAGAGTGAGTCTCTTTAGAACTGCTGAATTCTCTATAAAGTACCTTATTAGCTTCATCTCTGCCGTGACTCCCACGATTCCAACTTTGAAATTTACATACTCTAGAGACGATAACATGCACTGAGGTACAAAAAATTTGTAGAAAATTACATGAGCATAGGCCCTCAAAAAAATTTTTAGACCCCCAAAAGAATTTTTTACTTAGAAATCGCCATATGCCCCCAAAATCTCAGGGCCGGCCCTGTTCCTGGTAATCATTTTCTCATAATCACAAAAAAAAGGAGAGTGGATTCATGAGAACGCAATATATAATAATATATGATTTAGAGGAGTAAAAAACTCATAGTTAAGGTTTAAGAGAACTCGAATAATCACCAAGACGAGAGACTTCACGCTCGGGCAGCTGTCAAGAAAGGTTGGTAACCATTTCAAATCGGATATACGTGAAGTAACATGCAGGTGTGACATGTAACCAAAATAAGGCAGCATATCTAATTCTGGATATTGACGACATATTATCTAGAACAGAGAAATAAATGGGTCAGAAAGTTTCATGATATAAAAATAAATGTCACATACATTGACAGATATATATATATACACCTCGAAAGTGTTGTCACATAGCGTCATATCCGTGGCCCTAGTGATCCCGAGAAGAAAACTGTGGAGGTTACTTCTCTTGGCTTCATTAAAAAGGCCCGAACCAAAGAAGAGAGAAATATCTATCTTGGCAATGGACACCAAGTTGTTTACTATAAAGCTTTCTGATGCATAATCGTAAATGCTAAAACAACATAGTAGAGGAGCATCAATCACAACTCCCGGAACAGAAGCAAGGAAGTTAGCATAAGCTCGTACTAAATTGAGCTTCTTTAGTGATCGAGAGGGCACCCTAAAGGCTTTTTTTATCCTCCTTATGAATAAAAAGCTTTAACTCTTCAAGGACAGGGCAAGATGACACAACTTTCTCAAAAGTGGCTTCATTTGGATACCAATTATCTTCTAAATGCATAGTCTTTAGACAAGGCAAGTAAACAAACTCGGCATTATCCAAGGGTACCTCAAAGAGTTTTAAGTATACCAAAGTCTCACAGTTATAAAGCTTTAATGGATTGGTGAAGAGCTTAAACACTCCAAACCAATGTAAATCTAGATGTTGGACCTTACGCTTGATAGCTGCATCAATCCATGAAGTGGCATAAGAAGCATCATTGTTATGTTATGTTCATCAATAGTAATAGTTAACTTGAGTTTGTGTATGAGTGAAGCCCTATCGGAATTGAAAAACCTATGGCCCAAACTCACAAAGGCGTTTAGATCTGTAAAGTCGTGGGAGTTAAGTTCCAAACTAGGAACCCAAAGCCAGAGGCTTCCCCATCGGGTGGACAAAACGCTTGTCTTAACAACTTCCTTTCTCGGAAGATGATAGAGTATGTGACATATCAAAGGATCTGGTAGCTGGCTTATTATATCCTCCTTAAACCCCTGACTCAACCCTTTGGAAGAAGCCTGCTTGGCTTTCCCTTGACCAACCATATGTCCTTTCTCCAGTACACAAAAAAACTCTTCAAAACAATTCAAGATGCAAACAAAAAAACCCTAGAAATATTGATTGACCAAGAGAATAAGAGGGCATGAAATACAAACCAAGTATCAAAAGTCAAAACCCTAGTTTTGTTCTTCACCGTATATCTTCTAACCGGTTGTTGTACTCCGGTTCAATCTTTGTATCCACTTAAGCTCGGTTTGGTTATTTAATATCTATACTATTATTTAAGAAGTAAATTTGCTTAGTTGTCAACTTCTCCATAACTTTAGGTAATTTTGCTTATTTGTCAATTTCTCCACAATTTTAGGTAATTTTGCTTATTTTTCCTATTTTAAAATTTTTTATATAATTAAAACGATTTTCTATAATAAAATATTTTTTTATAAAATAAGATAATTCTTGTTCTTTACGTTGTTATATTTAAAATATTTTTTAATATAAAATTTATAAATTATGATATAAAAATTATGACTAAATATAAATCAAGCAAAATTATTTTTATAAATATATCTTATAAATATTTCTGATATGTGAGTTTAGTAAATTTTATGATTTGTCAATTTTTCATGATTTTACGTAATCTATACTATTATTTAAGAAATAAATTTGATTACTTGTCATGTTCTCCTTAAGTTTAGGTAATTTTGTTTATTTATCATATTTTTATTATTTATATATAATTTATTTATAAATAAAACGAATTTATATGAATATATCATATTTTAGAAAATAAAATAATTCTTTTGAATTATGTTGTTATCTAGAAATCTATACTATTATTTAAGAAGTAAATTTGATTAGTTGTCATGTTCGCCTTAAGTTTATGTAATTTTGTTTATTTGTCATATTTTATTATTTATATATAATTTCTTTATAAATAAAACGAATTTATATAAATATATCATATTTTAGAAAATAAAATAATTCTTTTGAATTATGTTGTTATCTAAAAATCTATACTATTATTTAAGAAGTAAATTTGATTAGTTTTCATGTTCTCTTTAAGTTTATGTAATTTTGTTTATTTATCCTATTTTTATTATTTATATATAAATTATTTATAAATAAAACGAATTTATACGAATATATCATATTTTAGAAAATAAGATAATTCTTTTGAATTATGTTGTTATCTAGAAATATATTTTATATATAAAACTTAAATTTTTAAAAATTATTCGAAAAGTGAATTTGTTGATTTGTCTCCTTGATCCTAGGTAAATTTGATTATTTATCATAATTTCTCTAATTTTGTTTATTATTGATTATATAATTAAAACTAATCTATATTAATAATATGATATTTTAGAAAATAAGTTAATTTTTATGTACTATGTTGTTATCTTGAAAATATAGTTTTCTTTAAAAAAATAAAATTAACATGTCAGAAATCTATACTATTATTTAAGAAGTTAATTTGATTGTTGATTTGTCATATTTTCCATGATTTTAGCTAATTTTAATAATTTATCATAATTTCTATAATTTTATATATAATTTATTATATATTAAAACAAATTTATATTAGTAGTATCAGATTTATATAAAATAAGACACTTCTTATGTATTAAGTTATTATCTTGAAAATAAATTTTTCTATTAGAAATTTAAAATTAAGATATAAAAAGTTGTAGTTATTCTTTCATTGAAATAAATTTACACTAATAATAATATACTTTTAGAGAATAAGGTAATTCTTATGTACTATGTTGTTATCTTGAAAATCTATTTTATATTATATAATTTAAAAGTAAAATAGAAAATTGTCTATTATTAGTTAAATATAAATCATCACTCAAGAAAAATTATTTTAGAAGTGAATTTGTTGATTCATTTAGTTCTCCATGAATTTATGTAATTTTAATTATATGTCGTAATTTCTATAATCTTATATAATTATTATACAATTAAAACAAATTTATCATATTATATTTTTAGAAAATAAATAACTTATGCATTATATTGTATATTGAAAGTATGTTTTTCTGTTATAAAATTTAAAATTAAGATATAAAAAACTATAATCAAATATAAATTAAGCAAAATAATTATAGAAATATATATTTTAAAATATTTCTGATGTTTGAGTTTTGTCATTGATGATTATTTGATCTTTCATTTATATTTTTGAAAACATAAATAATAACTTACTATGATGGTTTTAAAATTAATGAAACATCAGCTATTGAATATTGATAAGAGAATTATGCCCGCAAGTGCGGGCAAAACACCTAGTATGTAGTTTAAAAAAAAAAATCGAGCGAGAGAGGCCAATCCACAGGAGTTGTAATTTGAGATTGACTTTGTTCATATTGCAGTAGTGAAAGTCCTATTTTCGGTTACTAATAATTTTATACCATCAACTTTCAATTGTTATATCAGGGAAGTTTGTTATCTTTAAATCTTAAATAACTAACCCTGCTAATTAAGAGTAATCCAGGCCCGGCCCAGGGCACATGCCAAGTAAGCCATTGCCTAGGGCCCAAACAAAATTTTGGTCTTTTTAAGCTTAGATAAAAAAAAAAATAATTTTTTTTTTTATAAAGGGAAAAGGGCCCATTTTCCAAATTGGCATAGGGCCCCCTGCTGGGTTGGGCCGACCCTGGAGTAATCTGAACATGAACTTAATGTAAGATAACGAGAAACATGGAAATTAAGTCACCAAAAAGAAAAATATCAAAAACTGTAATATCATCCAATTATAATAATCCATCAGTTTCACAATGACAATGTGTGATGTTTTAGGAAATTCTTTATTGTTTTAATATGTAAGATGTTTTCTTTTTTTTTTTTGTCTGGATAGTTTTTAGCTTTATTAAAAATTGTGTATCACATAGTATTTTATTCTATATTTTTAATTGGTTAATAAAAATTTAACTTATATTTTATGATGTTTTCAGACAAAAAAATAATTTTTTTTTAATAATTGTGCATAGATGATAGATCATACAAAAAGAAACAAATAGATAGAGTATATATTAAAACTTAAAAGAGACTTTTGACATTAATGTATTCACACTATGTTCCTTACGTGTCGATCTTACATTGATTTGAAAATAAATACATTGATGCGTCATATGTAGATAAATTCTCAGCCATACTTTATATAAATGTGTTCATACTATGTATTATTTTATGTTTTTTTAAATATAAAATTCACATGCATGATTTCATATATTATACAAAAGTTTCACATAATAAGACAATTTACAAGAAATAATTTATATGTATTCTCAAAACCTTTCAAACACATTTTCATAATATATTCTAATGTTTTTTTTATCAATACTAAACTCACATAAAATTTTGTGGAAGAATAATCGCATGAAGTAATATTAAAAAATAGAAAGAACTTACGGTGATGGATTAGAAAGGATCGAGTGAAGAGATCAAATTTTGCAAACAAAACCCTAAACCCTTTTCAATCAGCGGTTGTTGATGGTAAGTACATAACTATATTTTTTGGTTATGAATGTGTGTACATGTTTTACAATCTTAGGCTTTTTTTGAAAAATTCTTTCGGATAGTCATTTTTAAGTATTTGTCACCAGAAAAAATTTTAAGATAGAAAATGAGCAAAAAAAAAATTTATTGAAAGATAAATGTACACCAATAGGGTTAACTAACATAAAATGCTCTTCAGTGAACAACCGCCGAGATTTTAAAATCTTTCAACAATTATCGTTCAACATAAGGCTCTACAAATCGGACTTATTACCGACTTTTAACAAAAAAAATTACTAGTTGCTGTTACTGGTACGGACTAACATATTCCGATTTCCAGAAAAAAATTTAAGATAGAAATGAGCAAAAAAAAGAATTATTGAAAGATGAATGTACACCAATAGGGTTAACTAACATAAAATGCTCTTCAGTGAACAACCGCCGAGATTTTAAAATCTTTCAACAATTAATCTTTCAACATAAGGCTCTACAAATCGGACTTATTACCGATTTTTAACAAAAAAATTACTAGTTGCTGTTACTGGTCCGGACTAACATATTCCGATTCGCAGAATAACGATAAGCTTGTCTTTCATTTGGTAAGGCCTTTGTAGTGATAAATTTTAGCATTAAACGATGTGGGACTTACGAAACTAAAGACTTTAAAAATAACAACTAAAATTTTAGGCTTGGGACGTCAAACCTCTACTTATTGATCAAACGTTTTTTAGTTACCACTAGACCACGTCAATATAAAATATTAACTTCCCATAAAAATTCAATATAAATCTATATTTAAAAATCAAGAAAATCTGTTTAAAATTAATCTCCGATTAATTTTCAATTAATCTCCAATTAATTTCTAATTAATCTTCAATTTTCTTTCAATTCGCTAGGTGTTGACCGGCCGCACGTGATATGTCTAGCACGTTCCTGAGCAGGGACTAACATTAGACATTTTTTTTATTTAGAGTTAAGTGATAGACTTTTGAGATAACGTTTAAAATATTCAAAAATAAAAAATAAATAAAAAATTTTAAATAAAATTTTAAAAATAGTTTCAAGAAACATCTTCGAATTTCAAAATAATTTTTTTTTTTGAAAAAAGAAGAATTATTATAAGAAAAAAAGTTTGATTATATTCAGAAAACATAATATATATATATATATATATATATATTAACTATATTGTTGTTAGTTATAATATTATAAAGTAAGGGGTAGAAAAATCTTTTTCATCTTTAATAAAATCTCTTTTGGTTATTTTTTATTTAAAGATTATTTTTATGACAAAAACAAATAAACTATTTGAGAGAATCACCTTTTTCTTTTTTACCACATGTCAAACTGTAAAATATTTATTGATTCATAAATGGTTAATGTTAAAAATTGATTGAGCCAAAGTACAACACAATACACCAAAGAATAAAATGCAGCAGGCCCAATAGTATATATATTTTTTATTATTTACGTATATAATTTGATTTTTATATGAAAAATATTTACTAATGTCTAGGCCTATTCTTTTTACTTAATTTTATTT